TTTTTTTTTTTGGACTTTTTTTCCTCGCGATTTGGCGGAAGCGAGTCTGCTCCACCCACCGCGCCCGTCCGAGTTGGCTGGGGGAGCGTGAAATGAGCCGCGTGTTGGTCCGGGCGCCGCCGCTCGCTTGGCCCCACGCAACACAACGTGGCTCGAGCTTTCACTCCCATTCCCACCACGCTGCAAGCCTCGACGGCGCCAGACAACGTCGCAACAGCGTATAGAGTCATGGCAGGGTCCCCATCGGCAGGCACTGCACTGCAGACCAGCTCATAGCGACGTCCATTGGCTTTCAGACGGTCGAGAATGGTGGGGCATTGCATTCCTACTTTCATAATTTTCATGCTGAAGTGTGTTAGGCCTCGCTGAGGAGATAGACGGCCGAGGCGCGCATCCATGCCCAGATGACGCCCAGGCTGCAGTACACGCTCACCATCATGAGTGGAAGGAACTCCATCGACGACTCGGATGGCGTAAGCTCTTGCACTTTGCTGGTGGTGGCGGTCGCTTCGGGCTGATCTTGGATCGACCCTGTTGAGGGTGTGTCGGGAGCCGTGGGTGTCGACAGCAGTCGCCTCGATATCGAATCGGAAGTAGGAGGCGCAACGTCGAACTCGGCAGTGTCGACAGCGACGGCTTCATCTGCGCCATCGGCATTCGAATCTGGTGTTGCCACAGGAAGCGGCGGGTCGGCGTCAATCTGCACAGCAGCGCTGTCGGCTATCGCTGTCGCTGGAGGTAGTGGAATGACATCGGACGCCAAATGCGCAGCTGCTGCGCTTGCATGCGTCGCGTTCGCCGGCGAAGCAAGCACCGGCTGCACAGGCAGCACAACGCTGTGGCCTGCCTGTGCAAAGATCATCGGATGCACGATCGAGACGTACGCCTGAAGCGCCACGAAACCCCACAGATACAGCGACTCGAGCCGATGCACGACGAGGCCGAGATTCGACTGCACGGGTCGGAAGACGCGCTTCTGCAGCGGGCCCAGCACGAGCAGCGCCCACACGATCGAATACGCCATCTTGATCGGCGCCTCTTGCGGCGTAAACAGCAGCGGGAAGAGCGAGACGATGCCCGCTGCACTGAGCAGCACAAACGTGCGCAAGTGGGCGTAGTCGACCGCGGCGAGCAGCGTGTAGGGGATGAGCGGGAGCATGATGGCCTTTTCATGCACATGCCATCCGAACAGGAACGATGCAAAGCCACACAGGCTGACGGCAGCCAAGAACGAGCGGTACGTCGGCGTCTGCCACAGCTTGACCATGTACACGCACATGCACGTCAGCGTGAGCGCAAAGCACATGGACGGACTGATGTCCGGCATGATCCCGAACGCGATGTTCTCCACCAGCCCGCGCGAGGCCGACGCGAATCCCGAGCCGGCAGACGCATCGAAGCGCGCAAGCATACCTGCCGGTACAAACATGCGCAGCGCAGGCACACGTGGGAGCAGCTTGACCAACACACGGTCCGCGAACGTCCATAGCGCCCAAGCGTTGGGTGCCCAGTAGGCGTGGATCAGCCCGCGGCTGAACGGGAACAACCTTTTCACCATCTGTGCCAGCACGCCAAGTGGGCCGGCTTCGTGCCGAAGCCCGTCCAGCGCGAGCGGTGCGAGGCTGAGCACGAACGGGATGAGCGTGACCACGCCGACGGTGATGAGCCTTTCGACGCAGCGTCCGACGTCGCTGGCGCGAGTGCCGACAGGCACCACATACGAGCGCAGCAGAAACACCAGGAACGGCGGCGCGACGTAGACGTAGATGTGCTTGAGGTTGAGCAGCGAGCTGAACAGGAACGCGCACAGCAGCGGGTGGTCTTCGCGCGCCGCCCACAGCGACCAGGCCAGCACGCCGAACAAGAAGCCGTTGTACTGAAAGTGGATGTGGTCGATGATGATCAGTCCCGGATGCATGAGCAGGCTCGCTGCCAGGATGTACGACGTGCTTGGGCCCGCCGTCGTCGAGTCCGTAAATCCGATCTTCATGGTGCGCTGCGTGCCGATCCTTGCATGCGCGAGCAGTGCTGCTGCGAGCACGAGCTCGGTGGCGATCACCGTGGCGCGCATGTATGCCTTGCAGGACCAGGCAGAGTATTCGAGCCCCTCGTGCAGGCTGACGATGAGTGGATCGACCAGCGCCGCAGGCTGCGCCAGGATCCACGAAAAGTACGCAAAGAATGGCGGATAGTCGAGCGTCCACTGCGAGGTGGCTTCAAAGTACCAGTCGCGCATGGGGAGCGAGCGCGTAATGGCGAGCCAGTTACGATGCACCTCAAAGTCCGTAGAGTGGTACGTGGGGAAGAGGAGCAGCTTGACCGCCGTGCTGAGCGTGAGCAGCTCCCACTCGCTCTTGAGCAGGCCGAGCGTGGTCGTCGTAGCCTCCTTCGTGCTGGTGCCGTGCTCGGTGGGGCCGGCGAGCGCTGGAGGGATGACCTCCGCCGCCATGCTGGGCGATCGAGGTATCCTTGGCGGGCTCATCGAGTCGATTCGTGGCGAAGAAGGTGGACCGTGCAGATACAGCGATGGAGGTCGGACGCAAGGAAAGGGTCCGGAACGAGCTCGGACCAACGGGGCCGAGCGCGAGGTGTTGGTCTCCTCCGCACAGCTCGACGCATCTGATAAAAAATGCGGTTCAATGTTTGATCTTTTCCCAAAGCAACCCTGCCTTGGGCAGCCGGGCATTTCTAGCACTTTCGCCTGCCGCTACCTCCACTGCAGGTGCTCTTTGACCACCATCACCACCAGCATCTTGACCTCGTGGCCCTCTTGCCACAAGCAACATCCAACATGGCAACAGCGAGCACCTCTTCCGCTGGAACTTCGGACGCAGCCACGCCGCGCTTCGACTTTTACCAGACCGATACTGCCGTCACCGTGTCGGTGTTCATCAAGGCGGCGCTCGCCGACCAGACCTCGGTCGACATTGCGCCGCGATCCCTCTCTGTCACATCGACCACCTCTACCGGCTCAAAGTTTGCTCTGCATCTGGATCCGTTGTTCTCCTCAGTCGACCCGGCGACATCGTCGTACAAGCTGCTGTCGACCAAGATCGAGGTGGTGCTGCACAAGGCGCAACCAGGCGTGCGATGGAACCAGCTCCACGCCGCTTCGGGCAACTCTGCACCAACACCACAGGTCACATCAACACCAGCAGCGCCACAAGCGCCACAAGTCGCGCACACAGGCAAATCGGCTGCACCTCGAGCACGGTCCAAGTGGGACTCGTTCGATCCTGATGCGGACGACGGCGATGCCGCACCTGCCGAGGCAGACATCAACGCCTTCTTCCAGAAACTCTACGCAGACGCAGACGACAACACGCGCAAGGCAATGATCAAATCCTACCAGGAAAGCGGCGGCACCACCCTCTCCACCGACTGGTCCAAGGTCGCTGCCGACCACGTCGCTCCACACCCGCCAGACGGAATGGAAGCCAAGAAATGGTAGCCCTCTCTCCCCGTTGTGTCCAATGCAATCTCACAGGCTCCCTTCATTTCATCGTCACGGCACGTTGCACAAAAACAAGGACTGGTGTGTGCCAAATGGTGCATGCACATGAGCTTACTGTGTGCTGGGCGCGGGTGCGCCCTTACCGCGCGCGCCATTGTTGGTTCTGCCGCCACGGCCTGCACTCGCCCCACCCCTTCCGCCCCTACCGCCGCCGCCGCCGCCGCCGCCGCCGCGCTGCTGCTGCTGCTGCTTCTGCTGCAAGTACTTTGTGCGCTTGCTCTCCTGGAGGATGAACCCGTCCTCGTCCACCTTGGGCTGTGGCTTGGGCTTCGGCGTCGTCGGCTTGCCGTTCGCACCACCTGCACCGTTACCCGCACGTCCCGCGCCGCCGTTGCTCTTGGCTTTCTTGGTCCTCGGCGAGTTGGCCACTTCGCCCGACGCCGGTGCCTCAGACGCTGGGGCGGCCGCTGCGTCGCCGCCCGAGGGGGTGCCTGGTGCCGGCGTGACGAGCGCCGACGTGGTCGACGACGGCAACGGCTCCCACACGGGAGCCTCGCCAAGATCGCCATCGTCCTCCTCGGCCAGCGCCGCCCAGTTGAGCTTGGGCTCGGCAACGACGGTGGTGTTGACGGGCTCCTTGACCGCCGAAGCAGCTGTTCCATCTGCCTTGCCCGACATCGCAGCCGCATCGCCCATAACTATACCAGCTCCTGCCTGCTCTCCTTTGCGGCTCTCCTCGGCGCCCTCAGCAGGCACGGCCGATGGCTGGCCACCTTCTGGCTCGGCGCCGGACTGATCCAGGATCTCGCTGGCTTGCATGAACGAGACGGGCGATGCGGGGGACGACGCCTTGCCGAGCGGCACGAAGCCCTTGGAGGGTCCATCGAGCCCTGTCGGCGCTGCTCGCGCAGCATCGGCATCGGCATCGGCATTGGCAGTGGGTGGCGCGGTGAGCTTGAGGATCATGGACCTGATCGTGTCGAAGCTGACGTCTGGCAGCACTTCGTCCTTGGATCCACGCTCGATGCTGGCCAGGGTCTGGAGCGCATCGCCTCCTCCGCCTTCCAGAGGTCCGTTGGCGAGCTGGTCGTAGATCTTCGCAACGGCCGCCACCTGCTGTCCGGTCGACATCTCGAGTGCAGGCGGCATGATGCGCTGGGGGGCAAAGGAGGGTGGGCCTGCCGGATTCGGATGGAAGAGATTGAAGAGGTGGAGGAACTGCAGCAGGAGCACCAGACGTGCCTTGCCCTCGGACTCGGTACCGGCTTTGGATGAAGACGGGGCCGACCCGGCTTCGGCGACCTGCACCTTGCTCAGAAGGCTCTTGAGTTCGTCGATAGCTACGGTGATGGTGGCATTCTTGCTTTTGGCCGAGAGCTCGTTGATGCGATCGCTGATGACCTTCTGAGCAGGTGTGGAGGGAGCATCGACGACAGGAGCAGCGGAGGACTGGACCGCTTCGACGGCAGCGACGGCAGCCTGCGTCTCTGCTTGCTCGGCCAAATCCTGACTCGTCACTTTGAGGCCGTTGGCAACCTGGTTTGGATTTGCAGGCGCCTTTTGGAGGAGTGCAGCTGATTTTGCATCGGGTACTTTGACGTCGGCAGCAGCCTTGGACGAGGTTTTTCCTTTCTTGCTAGCCTTGGACGGAGCGGGTGGAGGGGCGCCAGGCACAACACGACGCTGGGGCTTGTCAGCCGCACCGGGCACGGGGCGCGCTGCCATGGCTGATGATCACGGAATTTGCTAGGTCGAGCTTGCAAAATATCCAACAAGATTTCTCGTTGAGGCACCCTGTAAGCGGTAGTCCTTCCACAATGGGTCCAGAGTGTCTTGCTTCCTTCCCGATGTTGGAGCGAGTGGGCGATGATGCGTCTTCAAGAGAGAGGAGCTGATCGAGCGAGCTTACGACGTTCGAGGTCCGTAAGTGATGGAGTGGGAGGACCTGAGGACCAGGGATCGCTCTGACAAAGGGAGTGCCAATCAGTTGGAGTGAGGGTTGTATGCTGGGATGCAAAACGGTCCGCGAAAAGCCGAGTGAGGGGAAGAGCCGGATGAGAGGAAGACTTGACGTAGATGAAGGAATGGATGTAGCGATTACCACGCTGTACAGGATGAGCGATAGCAAAGGCGACGGTATAATGGATGGTGACGGGACGGAAGGATGGCGGAGGTCTAGCATTCGATGTGCATCCTGCATCGAGTAGAGCCTTCAGGCGCGCGACGACGCACCAGCCACGCAAGCGACCTTTCCAAAAGCTTTGGGCCCCATCGCTGCGCTGCGCTAGTCCGACCCACCGCAAAGCAAACGCGCAGCGCCGCGGGAATGAGGGAATGAGGCGACGACAGAGGCCGCGCCGCTGTCTGCGCCTGAAGCCTGCGTTGGGTGAGTCAGGATCCGGAGAGAGTCGATGGATTTTTGGAGCCAATTTTCTCGAATTATTTATTGATTTCATTTTTTTGTTTCGTTCACCCACAAAGCGTCGGTTGCACGGCAACTTGATGGGTTGAAATGATACCGGTGGCTTCATGGTGCCCGAGACCGAGTCCATTGAGACAGCTTCTCGCAGGCTACGACATCGTCCGACCTTGGCCATTGCAGGCCCACTTGAGTAGCTGGTGCACAGCAAGGGTGCATCAGGAAGGGCGCACGAGGCTCGAGGGAGACGGCGAGAGACATGGTCTGTGCGAGCTTTGTTGCGCTCGCCTAATAATATTGGCCGGCCGGCGCAAAGGGTCTGCCTTCGCCCCAGCAGCTTGGCTCGGGCCGGCAACGCCTTCGAGCCTTTGATCAAGGAGGATTGAGCGCGGTCAGGACCGCGAGGCTCGAGCGCTGCGGGGATGCTCTCCACCACTGCGTCACGGGGTCTTTCGTGCCGTCGAAGCTGGGGAGGCGGCCACACTCGATCGGACATTTTCACCCGGCAGCCGGCAGCGACCATCATCAGCCATTCAGCAATGCGTGCAAGCCCCAACGGTGATCTTGGGTGGGCGCAGCCGCAGCTACAGCCACGAGTATGCCACTGCTCTGTGCTCGGCTCAACAAGGCACATTTGCTGGCTGCAGCTCATGCCATATGCACGCCTAATGTACTCTGCTAGCCGCTGCTCGTGGTCTGGCTCGCTTTCGGTCCTTCGTGCCGCACCTGCAGCAGCGGGCTCTTTGAGCAGACTCGGTGCGCAATTGCCGCGCTCCCTTTTCCCGTCGGCGACGTCTCTCTCCCGCCAACCCAGCCGCGGGTCATCCGAAACCAGGGAAAAAGGCAGGCCAACGAAGGGCAGCGCGTCTGCTATACCGGCATGTAAGACCTGCTGGCAGACCGGAGAGCAGTGAAAAAAAAAAGACAAAAGAAAAAGAGAAAAAAATGAATTCCTGGCGGTGAGCCCAGTCATTCATGACGGAAGGGGCACAGCTTGGGCGCGGCGGACTTGGCATTGTGCAGCTGCAGCCAGCGATGCTCCGTAATTGGCGGCCCCGGATCAACGCTGCTGGCTGAGCGGCCGGGTTGCAGTTTTATTCGGCTGGGCTTTCGCTCGCTGCCTCTCTGCTGCTGCATCCAGCGCGGCACGCCGTTTTTTTTGGCCGTTGCGTCCGTCGCCTTCTGGTGTTGCTCTACGCATCGGCTGCCCCCTTGCCTCTGCCCGGCTCAGCTCTGCACATCCATCATCCCGCCAGCCCAGCTCGACGAGAACGGAAGCGTTCCGACCACCATCATCACCAGCCACGCGCCACGCACTCCCACGCTCCGACCGCCTCGTTCCTGCTCGGATTCGGCCCGACGCGCTGACTCTCCCTGGAATCGTGCCGCCGAGTCATCTCGTTGCCTCGCTGCCACCAGTCCCGACGCGGCCACCCTCTCTCGTCCGAGCACTCACCTCTCGCATCAAGCTCATCGGGACAGCCGAATCGACACAGAACCGTCGACTGCCCCAGGATAGACAGCTCAGGCGCTCTTGATCCGCTGCTTCACCCTGGTATTCTGCGCTAGCATCGGCGCAGTGCTTCGTCTCGAGTCCTCGTCTCCACTTCCGCGCACCTTAGAAAGAGGGATTGGCAGCCATCTCCGTCATGGCATCCAACATGCTGCGCGGCCTCTGGCCGTCGGGTCCAGCAGATCAGGTATGTTACGCCGTTCCTCCGCGCCTGCTCTTCGCCTCAGCCTGAACTGACTCTGCTCGCCTTTCTTAATCACGCTCGCCAGACCACGCCCAAGGCGTCCAGCTCGCACTCCAATGGTGCCGCCGAGCGCAACCCATTTGACAGCATGCAGCCTCCGGCAATGACCAAGCAGTCTTCGCGCTCCTCACTCAACTCGTCCATCCTCGGCACCCACCTTCCTGGTGATCAGACACCCGGCATGAGGACGCCCGGCGGCATCACCTCGCACTCGGCCATTCCTACCACCTCGATCTCGCTTGGCGATCCCGATTTCACCATGAAGCTGCCGCCCCAAAAGCAAAGAAACGAGCCCAGCCTCGCCGCTCAACCACACGCTGCAAACCAGAACGCGCCTATCGCCGACGCCCCAGCTGCCCTCATGTCGGATGCAGCCCCGCCAGCATCCTCCGCATCAACATCCAATGCAGATCAGCCACAGAGCGGCGCCAACACGCCAGCAGGCACCGGCAGCAGCAGGACACGCAACACCGCCGCGCCACGAGGTCATCTCACCATCAAGATCGTCGCCGGTCGCAACTTGGCCGTGAGCAGCCCCGCCGCGCGGCCGTACGCCGTGGTGCAGTTCGACAAGAACGAGTTCATCGGCCGCGAGCCCATCGACGAGTATGGCGAAGAGGCCAAGGGCGTCGCCCAGCCGCGTTCCGAGGCGGGCGAAGCGGGTCGCAGCCGCGCCAAGACCGTCACCCCCGCCGACGCGCTCGCACGGACGGGCCACAACCACAACCCCGTGTGGAAGCACGAGGTCACCTTCGACGTCACGCAGGACTCGCAGCCCATCTACATCAGCGTGTACGACCGCCATTCGGAGGACGAGGGCTTCCTCGGCATGCGCGAGATCAAGCCCAAGCTCGTGCACAAGATGATGAGCGACCAATGGTATCCGCTCTCGTCGCGCGACGACGACGAGGGCATGGAGAACCGACGCGGCGAGATCCGCGTGCAGATTTCGTACGAGCGCATGCCTGCCAAGAAGCTCACGCCGCACGACTTTGAGTACCTCAAGCTCATCGGACGCGGCACCTTCGGACGCGTCTTTCAGGTGCGCAAGAAGGACACCAAGCGCATCTACGCCATGAAGGTGCTCTCCAAGCGCGAGATTGCACTCAAGAAGGAGGTCACGCACACGATGGGCGAACGCAAGATCCTCGAAAAGTCGCTCGACTGCCCCTTCCTCGTGGGACTCAAGTTCTCGTTCCAGAGCGCCACCGAGCTCTACTTTGTCACCGACTACAAGTCTGGCGGCGAGCTCTTCTGGCATCTGCAGCGCGAGGGCCGCTTCACCGAGGAGCGTGCGCGCTTCTACATCGCCGAGCTCGTGCTGGCGCTCGAGCATCTGCACAAGTACGATATTGTCTACCGCGACCTCAAGCCCGAGAACATCCTGCTCGACGCCACGGGCCACGTGGCGCTGTGCGACTTTGGCCTGAGCAAGCCGGATCTGGGTGCGGGTCAGCTGACCAACACCTTCTGCGGCACCACCGAGTATCTGGCGCCCGAGGTGCTGCTGGACGAGTCGGGCTACTCGAAGCTCGTAGACTTTTGGTCGCTGGGCGTGCTGCTGTTCGAGATGTGCTGTGGCTGGTCGCCGTTCTATGCGGAGGATACGCAGCAGATGTACCGCAACATCTGCTTTGGCAAGATCAAGTTCCCGCGCGGCGCGATCGGCGACGACGGCAAGCAGTTTGTCAAGGGCCTGCTCAACCGCAATCCGCGCCATCGGCTGGGTGCGCAGCGCGACGCGCAGGATCTCAAGGAACATCCCTTCTTCAAGGACATCGATTTCGACGCGCTCGCCAAGAAGCTGCTTACGCCGCCGTTCAAGCCGCTCGTCGAGTCGGACGAGAGCGTGGCCAACTTTGACCCCGAGTTTACCGAGACGGATCTGAAGGATGTGGCGGTGATCCCTGGGTTCGAGGGTTCGTTGACCGAGGCGGCCAAGGCGCTGCAGAACGGCGACCTGCTGTCGGAGAAGGATGCCAACGGCAAGGGCATGGCGATCAACAAGGCGCGCGAGGCTGAGGAGGACGATGCGCTGCTCACGCGCAGTGTGCAGGACAAGTTCCGCGGCTTCAGCTACAGCGGCACGTACGAGGGCAGCGTGGCGGGCAGCTTTGGCGGCCGCAGAGGCTCGGGCGGCGCGGGGCTCGCAGGTGCCAGTCTGGGCATGAGCAGGATGGGCGTCAACGACGACGATGTCATGCTCGACGACCCCGCCTTTAGGGAGCTGGATGGCGATGAGCCGATGTACACCCGCTGAGGTCAGGCGTTTGACCTCCTTTCCAAGATCTTGCCAACGGACACTTTTTTCTCCTCAATTCTCGACTTATACTCTCTCTTTGTGGCCTCCGTCATGCCTCGTCTTTCGCTTTTAGGCGATAATCTGATTCAGGATAGATGCGCAGGTGTGGCAACGACTCGGTCTCAAGTTGCGGTGGTATCATGTGTGGATTGGAAGCGCGGGCTAGGTGGACTTTTCGAGCCACTGGGCGAAGTTGTGTTTGGCGAGGTTGTCGTCGTCGTCGTCTGGATGGGTTGTCGACTTGCGGAAGCGCGGTTTGGCGTTGAGGATGAAGGCGTTAATGCGACGTTGGGCGAAGAATCTTCCATCCATCATCTGGACGCACTTTTGGGCCTGGTCGTGGCTGCTGAAGCGAACGGTCATGATGCCTTCAGGCTCCAGATCCCACAGGACGACATTGGTGACGCCGCCGATTTTGTCGGTGCACTCTTCCCGCACGTCGTCCTTGAGGTCGAGCAGAAGAGTGGGATCCTGCTCGAGCTCAAAGAGCGTAAACATCTTGGTGAGCACCACGGTGCGCCCGGCGTCGGAGGTAGCGTTGGTGTTGGATGTGGAGGTGGTGGAGGGATGTGCGTCGTCCGACTCGTCGGAATCATCGCGCCAGTCCGACAGCTTGTTTTCGAGCCGCGCTACTCGCTTGGCGATCTTCTTGCGGTCTTGCTCGCTGAGATTACGTCGCTGCCCCGCACTCTGTGCGCCTTTGCCCGCCTCCTCTCTATCCGAACCTGATGGTCCGTTGGATGTGCTTTTGGTGGATGCATTTGCGGGCGGTTCGGACTTTGTCCCCGATGCCGATTCGGTGGGGAACTGGGCGCGCTGCACTCGCATTATGGGCCCACTGGAAGACGTCTGACCGATCGCTGCGCGCATGTTGGTTTCGTCAAGCATGTTGATCGCCAGTTCGACACTCTCTGGCTTAAAGTAGACGACGAGCGCCTCGCCCCTAAACATGCCCGTCTTGTCGTCGTGGTACATCTTGATCCTCGGCTTGCCCTGGTCGTCTTCTAGCAGCACGCCGTAGCGGGAAAAGACACGTGCAATCTCGTCGGACGTAGCATCGAGCGGCAGCCCCGAGACGTAGAGCGATGTGATGGGCTTGGGACGCTTGGATGGCGGCAGGGCGCTCGTCGAGCTGGAAGAGTTCGGATCGGATGGCGAGGCGGCGCGCTTCTTGGTGCGGCGCAGCACCGGCTGTGCGGGCTGCGACTCGTCCACGCCATCCACCGAGTAGGCAGCCTGCTGCGCCCGGACGAGGTCGTCGTCGAGCACCTTGACCCAGTGTCCTGTGGGCTGGGTGGATGTAGATGCGGCAGGAGCAGTGTCGGTGGATGGCGCATCGTCTTCGACCTCGCCCTGATCCACGGCGGGTCGGGCGAGCTGGACGAAGGGTTGCCATTCCCACTCGTCGCCTTCGTCGTCTTCGTAACGCCAGTTGCCCGATAAACGGTCGAGAAAGACGCGTGGATCATCGGATCCACCCTGAGCGGGCGGCGCTGGATGCAATGCCATCGGTCACGAGCAGCGGCGGCGGCGGATGATCTGGGCCGAAGGGAAGGAGTAAAGAAGGAGTAGGAAAAGGCAGAATATGGCAAACGAGTGCGGAAAGCGTTGGCTTCCTCCACCTCGCAAGTTGCCGCCAATTTCGACAGCTTGGAGGCTGCGATGAGCTGTAGGAATTTTGAATTTGGGCCAGAAATACCGGGAATTCACCAAAATGCTCCGCCTCGGGACTCGCATGTGGACGTGCACGTCCGCTCCGCACTCGCGCTCTCTCTCTCACACTCTCACTCTCACTCCACTCCACGGCCATCACCTTCACTCCACGTCACTGACACCGCCACCGCCACCGTCAGCATCGACCTTCGGCTCCTCGCTGCCTCTTCACCATCAGCACTGCAGCGTAGCACACACGACCAGGGCGTCTAGTCGCGCGCGCCCCGGCAGCCATGGCGTACACACCCACCTCGTACTACGGCCACTCGGTCAAGGACCGCACATCCGAGTTCCACGGCCTCGTCGAGTCCATCGCATCGCGGTCCTCCCAGCCACCAGCAAAACAAAAGCTGCTCAACAATGCACAGGCGTCCTCGTCCAAGGGCGAATTCGCTCGCAGAGCCCAGGCGATCGGCAAAGACATCGCATCCACCACAGCCAAGCTGCAACGCCTAGCGCAATGTGCGTTTCCACTCGAACCCAACCTCCGTGGCCCCTTGAAAACAGAACTGACCTTTGTCCCTTTCGCTCTCTTGATTTTGGTCGACAGTGGCGCGTCGCAAGACGCTCTTCGACGACCGACCCGTGGAGATCTCGGAGCTGACGTACATCATCAAGCACGACATTGCAGCGATCAACAAGCAGCTCGCGGATCTGCAGGCATTCAACAAGGCCAACCGCTCCGGCAAGCCCACCGACCGCGCAGAAGAGCACCGTGGCAACGTCGTCACGCTGCTCCAGAGCAAGCTCGCAGGCGCCACCACCTCGTTCCAGGATATCCTCGAGGTGCGCACCCAGAACATGAAGGCCTCCAAGGACCGCTCTGAGCAGTTCATGTACTCCAACTCGGCCGCCGGCATGCCACCAGCTGAAAATTCAGGTGCGTACTTCTCCCTCTCCACTTCCTTGTTGGCGCAGTGTAGCTGACCTTGGACTGCAGTCCTTCGTTCGCGCGGCAAACCCAACTCTGCTCCGCCGGGCCCAGATTCACCGCTGTATAACCCCACACGCACCGCCTCGGCCATGGCGCACCGCGCGGCACCCTCGCCGCTCAACCCAGCGCTGCAGCAATCGGCCTCGTCGGATGGCTACGATCCCAAGGGCAAGTCGAAGGTGGCGCCCGGATCGGACGGCGACTTTCTGGCGCTCGACATGGGCAACGGCACGAATGCGGCGGGCGGCGAGCAGTTTCTGCAGATGCAGCTCATGGACAACCAGCAGAACAGCTACATGCAGCAGCGCAGCACCGCCATCGAGTCGATCGAATCCACCATCAGCGAGCTCGGCCAGATCTTTTCGCAGCTCGCACACATGGTGGCCGAGCAGCGCGAAACGGTGCAGCGCATCGACGACAACGTCATGGACGTCGTCGACAACGTAGGCGGCGCACAGCGCGAACTGCTCAAGTACTACGCATCCGTCTCGAGCAATCGCTGGCTCATGCTCAAGATCTTTGGTGTGCTCATCGTGTTTTTCCTCCTGTTCATCTTGGTGTCGTAGATCACGAGGCAAAGGCAGACGAAGCAATGGCATCTTGCAGCATAAATCACCAAAATTCAGCAAAATTGTAGCACATGGGTGCGTGGGGTGGGTGTTAGGCGTCGCAATTGCGCCACTCCGGTGGCATGTAGGGGAGCTGGAGCAGTTCGAACACGTCCCTTTCCGTGGCGGTGGGGACGAGCGTGTTCTCCGCCAGGTTGGTCAGGCCGTCAAAGGAAAAATTGAACCCCTTGGTGCGCGCCCAAAGGCGGAGGTCTCTTTCGAACGTCAAGCTTCCTGTCCATCCGAGCACGGTGGCGCCATACACGTGGAGCGGGCAGAAGACCAGATCCACCCTCCGATGCAGAGCCCTGTGTGCACCCGAGGCAGGGGGGAGGACGACGATGTTGGCAATATCGATATGGACCGGTGGCGGGGCGGACGGGTCCGGATCGGCTTCGAGGTTGGGATGCGGCGTCGAGATGTTGACGATGTGCGTGATGAGTCCCCTCTTCTTCATGTCGTCGAGAAGCTGCACGTGGAGCGCCCTCGAGGCGGTGAGCGTGTGCCCGATGATGATGTCGAGATCGTACGTGCGTGGTTTCCCGCGTCTGTACCCACCACAGATCTGCCATCTTACCTCTGCACCGCGCATGAGCTGGGTGAGAAGACGCATGATCTCGTCTGCAATGCTCTCGCACTCTACCCGTCCGATGGGCTGTCTGAGATCCGCCAGGATCCGAACCGACTCTTTGGCGGACAGATGCGTCGCCAACGACTTTTTTCGTTCCAGCACATCGCGGAACGATCGTGCGCCGGCATTGTACGCCTCGCGTGCCCCAATGGGCCCAATACCGTACAGCTCCGCAAAGGCGTTCATCACAAACACCGCCCGGTCGCGTTGAATCACCTTGGCCTCGACAATCCTTGCCTCTCGAGTCGATGTCGAGTGGTAGAACTGTCGAACGAGCGAGAAGACCTTCTTGCCCACACCCTTGAGCTTCTCCACTTCCGCCAGGCGCAGATCCCGTAGCTCGGCGGAAAAGTCGGCGTCGGTGACAGAGTCCGGGATGTGGAAAGGATAGGCTTTGAGTGCCGAGATCGCACGCATGTACGCCATCTCCGCGTACGTGTCGCCCGTGAGCCGGCGCTCGTTGCGGATCAGCTCGAGCTGTTCCACCAGCATCTGATTCGAGCACTTGAGTGGTGACGGTCGTCGGCACGCATACCGGGTGTTCGACCAGGCTGGAACTCCTTCGGGCACTTCCAAAGGCTTGTACACCGGCATCTCTTCCGCTCTTGATGCCGCAGCTGCGGATCGGGGTGGGGTTGATTCCGGGCTTCGTTTCCTCTTTCTATCTGCCTCCTGTGTAGGACTGTGTGGTACAGCGGGGTATCTATCTGGATCTACCAGCGTTCTTTCATCCTTGACTGCCTGTAACCATTGCGGCGTGACGACGAAGCGACGCCAATCTCTTCCCTGCCCCAATGGGGCATCCACCACCTCGACCGCATCCGCTGGAACCGGATCAGGCGCGGGGAAGACGTTCAGGTCATCGTCGTCGAAGTGCTTTCGGATGCGCTTGGGTGCACGCAGGATCGTGACGACCACATTGGCTGCGGCGGGCGAGGCGGTGATCTGCGCACCCAGGCTCTGCGCCGTGAGCTCGAGCCGCGTCGCTGCCTCGTCGTCGATCTTATCGCGCAGTACGTGCACGCGCGTGGACTGCGAGAGCACGCGCGCTGTCCGACTGTCGGTGCGCGACAGGCTGCCAATGTGATCCTGGTACCGCACTGTCAGCGCTGGTGTGGATGGCACGCTCGACATGAGCTCAAGCACCCCGAAGAGGGCGAGGCAGACGCATGGTGGTGCACCGGCAAAAGGCGAGGTGGTACAAACGGGTGGAGGTGGAGGTGCCAACAAATAGCCGACGCCCCACGGCGGCAGTCCAACACCGCACTGCGGATCGGTGCCTGGCCAAGGGTCAGGGTCTACCATGCTCAACATTCCGATGGCTTCATGTCTGCGCGCATGCCCCACGGTTGCAGTTGGTTTCGTATCGCGATCCATAACCATGCGTCGCAGTTGCACCAGCTCAGGCACGTAGTTACGACCGATCAATCTCGCGTTGTTTCGATTCTACCAGGCCCGGATCGTATCAGCGATACTGAACAACTCCCGATCAGCTGTACATCTGTGTTTGGCTACGGACACCCAGACCCCGGACGTGCATACCGCCCAATGACATTTGGTCTTCCCGTTTGCCACGCACCGTCAAGCATATCGACGCTGCTCTATCGAACAACCTCTATCGGAACTCCCATCTATTGGGAACAACTCGGTCGAAACAATTCTGTCCAGACTAACCGCTATAACCCCAGCACCGCGCGTGCGACTTGCTCTTCCTCATTGTCAGACACCGTCAGCTCTTGTCCTTCCCCAAGCAGCGTCAACTCTGCCCGGACATTACATGTACCACCTGCTCTTGCCTCTATCAAACACAACTACCTTTTTGCGAACAATGCATGTCTCTCCTTCCCTTTGCTGTACACTGTCCACTCTGACCGAACATTGCACGTTGCTCTTCCCTTCGCATCCGTCCACTCTACCCAAACGCACATTGCTCATCCCGCTACCACACACCATCTCTCGAAATCATCCAATCCAATGCGCAGTCGCGCTCTATATTACAAAAAGTCCATACTGCTACAGCAGCACCACGGCCACAACCACCGCAACCACACCGACCGCCACCAATCTCGCCCTCTCGCTCGCAGCGCTCGACGCGCTGTGCTGAGCGCTCTTCTTGGCCTGCTGCCAATTTGCGGCGCTCTGATCATCGTCCCCTACCGCCGTCGGAGTCTCTGTACCGTTCAAGTTGATAAAGAACAGCCTCTCCAGACCCGCTTGGCTCGTAAACATGCCCAAGCCATCATGCGAGACATTGGGGATGTAGTTGACCGTATGAGCGGCCGGAAATCCTCCGTCCATGTCGGTGAGGTGCTTGACAAAGTTTCTGCCTCGTCCCAAATGCGTAGTTCCCTGCGCTAGCGCTTCACACCTCGTATCGCCTTTGCCGTGATCCGCCAAACCAAAGAGGTACGACACAATACGTCGGCGATACCTCTGTACGACACTCTCCACATCATTGGTGGAGTCGAGAGAGTCGGTGATAAAGTCGGACAGATACGACTGCGAGTATGCATTGAGGCCAAACTTCCAGTCGTTGAAGGTGTCCGTGCAGTTGTCGTACGATCGCGGTCTCCACTCTGTCAGATAGGCATACGAGCCCGGGTTGGCCACGACAAAGTGCACAGGCACCGTCCCGGAGGGTACCGCACCGATCAGTGCATACCTCTGTACCATCTGCGCGCCCAGACTGTGCCCTGCGACGATGATCGTGTTGAGGTTAGGGAAGAGCGTCTTGTTGGCGAATCGTCCCACGGCCATATCGAGAGCTTCGAACGATGACACCCCCGGCGCAGCGAATGGAATGCCCTGCGCGTCATTGACGGTGGCAGGATAGATCGAGTCGGCACCTTCGGCCCAGTCGCTATCGTTCCACACGAGTGCGGTCGAGTTGGGCTGCTTGTTGGCATCGACGGGATAGCAGCCTGGATCCTGCTGGTTCAAAAAGATGGGAGCCATGATGACGACCTCGTCGGCGCGCAGACGCGATTGGTGGGTGGTGCGTTCCTTGCGCGAGGTTGCATTGAGCAAGGCCACGTGGGTCTGGTCGAAGTAGGACCATGCATCGCGACCAAGGCCGTGAAGCATGATGACGGCGCGCTGAATCTTGGTGGCATTGTAGCCGGTGGTGATGTAGTTGTACAAGTAAAAGTCGGTTGCATTGAGGCCCTGCTGCTGTGCCGTTGTGAGGATGGGGCCATTGTAGGACGAGGGTGGCGCGGCCTTGACGACAAAAGTGGTGTCGAGCGTGCGATTCTTGTCGGTGGCAGGAAGCCAGTCCCAAGCGTTTGCGGTTGTGGTCAAGGTGATGGTGGTTGCTACCAGCAAGAGGAGCAGCTGGGCGAGGCAACGCATGTCGACCCAAACCGCTCGTCCCAGCGAGATTGTCGAGCGTGGTTCAAGACGGCATGCGAAGGGGCGCACCGCCGGTACAAGATTGGGATACTTATAGCGCCGGCACGCTGCGGCGGAGAGTTTTGCAGAGCAATGGAGCGGTGTTGTTGAAGGTCGACGCCGGCGGTGAAGCTGTCGAAAGGTGATGCCGCTTCACAAAGCGCGGACCTGTGAAAAGGAAAAGGCCGCTAAGGGATGTTGGGTGATGGAGGGTGTCGAAAGAGAGGATGCCGCTGGATCGTAAGGAGAAAGCACTGTATGGCGATTGCGGAGCTGGGAGCCAAACCGGCCTAAATGGGAACGACGTCGATGGGAAGGGCTTGAGCTGAATTCAAAGCCGAGCGATACAGTTAAGGAGTTAAGGTGCAAGATGCTTGACAGACGCCGATGCGTGTTTTGCCAGATGATGGAGCGGAGAGAGAGGCGAGGGCTTTCCACTCCGGGCATGGTGCCGAAGGAAGCGAACCGGGAAGCTGGGATCGGCACAATCTGCGGATCGTTTCGAGGAGAGCGCCGTGTGTAGCGGAGCTCCGATATCTGCGCGTAAGCGGAGACGCATGGTGGCTCCGGGTGCAGGCATGTGGTTGGTGCGGCTAGCGGCAGCTGTTACGGTCGACCACGTCGAAGCGGGCAGCAGAGCAGAAGGGTGCGCTCCGGACCATGTGTCACGCACGCATTCTGCAGCCAAGCAGATACAGTAGCCGTGGTCCCAATCTTGGCTCTTGGCGGTGTGATACTAGCGAAACTCTGGCGCTTCCATGGCTAATTGGTCGTGCCGAGATAGTGCGTCCTGCAAAGGCGATCCACACGGTCGCACTGCACACTTGGGGGCGGACAGCCGAGGAGGGGAAGCAAAGCACACCGAAAAACAAGGGCGTTCAGGGCCGGCTTGCGCGAAATTTGCCGAGTGGCTTGGCAGAAGACTGCCTTGCACGGTCTTGCACGGCCAAGCTGGCGAGCACATGCACGACCAAGTTTGGGGGTGCCGTGCAGTATCTTGGCCATGCGCGAATGCTTGACAGCGGCGATCCGGGCGGGTCGGAGAGAGGATCCCGCTCTCCGAGACCATCCACGCGGTGCGGTGCTGTGCTCCCTCTGGGCTACGCTACGCTACATTTCTCTGCGCTGCACAGTGCGTGCTATCCAAACTCAGCCACCGAACGCGGTCACTTTGGATGCAGAAAACGCCGAGCTTTTGACAGCCGTTGATTTTCGATCTTTGCGGTTTTTCCAAATGTTACACCGCCACAAATGCAACGCGGCGCAAGAATTTCGTTCCTGACCTCTGAGGTACCCTCGTAAAACCCGCCCGATAGCGCCGCGCCAAATCTGACGTGCTCGAGCCGGCTTTAGCTCGACTTCTTCTCAAAACCAAGGCTCGCTCTCTCCACATGGGAGCTGCGCGCCGCTGCTCTCCGCGGGCTGATGAAATCGCGGAAGCGCGACTTGCGTGCTGGGCTGCTGCTCTCACGCCCAACTGCCGGAAGGCGGAGGTGCGCTCGCTCCACTTGTGGCATCTTTGCCCACACTCCCTTCCATCACTCCGGCTCAGCTTCACACCACAAGCTACTCCGTCAGCCCTTCTCCTCGGCCCGCCTCGTTCGGCTGCTTCGTTCATAATGAGGGTCGCCATCCGGCGGCTCCCTCTTCCATCGGCGCACATGCGCTCGCCGTCTACCTCTGTCTCTCGCAACCTTTCGGCGCTCATCCAGCCGCGCGCCTTCTCCTCGATCGCTTCCGCAAGCTCGATACGTCCATGCACAGGCTTGAGACGTCGTCATGACGCGCCGCATGTAGCGCAGCTCAGATTCTATCGTCACATGGCAGCCGACAGCGAGACCAACGACCCTTCCAACTCACCCCAGACGACCAAAGCACCGAAACCCGCCTCTGCCACCGTCGCAGCGTCCACAGCACCAGCAGCGCCTGGCACAGCTCAACCTCCAGCTTCGCCAAAGAAGAAGGAGGCCGACGGCGATGATCCGCTCAACCTCAACGCCGGCCGCGCCAAGTCGGTCAAGGAGCAGCGCATGGTCGACTGGGCCATCATCAAGAAGCTCATCCAGTACGTCTGGCCCAAGGGCGATTTTGGCACAAAGCAGCGCGTCGTACTCGCGCTTGCTCTCCTCGTCGGCGGCAAGCTCCTCAACGTCCAGGTGCCCTTCTTCTTCAAGGCCATCGTCGACCGCCTCAACGATCTTGTCAATGCTCCTCTCGACATGACCAACCCCAACACCGTCTGGGTGGTCGCAGGCAGCGCTGTTCTCGGTTACGGCCTCGCACGCGTCGGCGCAGCCGCCTTCTCGGAGCTGCGCAATGCCGTATTTGCCAACGTCGCACAGAGGTCCATCCGCCGTGTCGCAAAGTCGGTCTTCACCCACCTGCTCGCGCTCGACCTCGGCTGGCATCTGACGCGCCAGACCGGCGGTCTCACGCGCGCCATCGACCGCGGCACCAAGGGTATCTCCTTCCTGCTCACCAGCATCGTCTTCCACATCGTGCCTACCGCACTCGAGATCTCGATGGTGTGCGGTATCCTGTCGTACAAGTGCGGGCCGAGCTTTGCCGCGGTGACGGCGGTGACCATGGCTGCCTACGCGTGGTTCACCATCCGCACGACGAGCTGGCGCACGCGCTTCAGGAAGGAGGCCAATGCGGCCGACAACCGCGCCGCCACCACGTCTGTCGACAGTCTGCTCAACTACGAGGCGGTCAAGTACTTCAACAACGAGAAGCACGAGATCGCAAAGTACGACGCCGCGCTCGCCGACTACGAAAAGTCGTCCATCAAGGTGGCCACGTCGCTGGCCGCGCTCAATTCGGGCCAGAACGCCATCTTCAGCACGAGCTTGACCGTCATGATGCTGCTCGCTGCGCAGGGCGTCACGAATGGCACCATGACCGTGGGTGACTTGGTCATGGTCAACCAGCTCGTCTTCCAGCTCTCGCTCCCACTCAACTTCTTGGGCACTGTGTACCGCGAGCTCAGGCAGAGTCTCATCGACATGGAGACCATGTTCAACCTCGAAAATGTCAATGTGGCCGTCAAGGAGCAGGCGGATGCGCCGCCACTCCAGGTTAAGGGCGGCGAGATCAGGTTCGAGAACGTCACGTTCGGATACCATCCGGACCGACCGATCTTCAGCAACATCTCGTTCACCGTTCCTGCGGGCCTCAAGACTGCGTTTGTGGGTCCATCGGGATGCGGAAAGAGCACGATCTTTAGGTTGCTGTTCAGGTTCTACGAGCCGCAGTCGGGCAAGATCTACATTGACGGGCAGGACATCACCAAGGTGTCGCTCGAGTCGCTGCGCAGGCACATTGGCGTGGTGCCGCAGGATACGCCGCTGTTCAACGACGATATCCGCCACAACATCCGATATGGCCGACTGGACGCGAGCGACGAGGACGTTGAGCGTGCAGCCAAGGCGGCCAAGGTGGATCAGATCGTCAAGAATCTACCCGAGGGGTATGCGACCAAGGTGGGCGAGCGTGGGCTCATGATCTCGGGTGGAGAAAAGCAGAGGCTTGCAGTCGCAAGGCTACTACTCAAGAACCCGAGCATCCTCTTCTTCGACGAGGCAACTTCGGCGCTCGACTCGTATACCGAGACCGAGCTCATGCGCAATATCAATGCTACGCTGCTGGCGCAGAAGCGCACGGCCATCTTTGTCGCACACAGGCTGCGCACGATTTCCGACTCGGACTACATTGTGGTGCTCCAGGGTGGCGGCGTGGCCGAAGTAGGCACGCACGATCAGCTCATGCAAACCCAGGGCCTCTACTGGGATCTGTGGCAGGCCCAGTCGACCATCGGCGTCGGACATGGTGCAGGTGCCAACGAGCACCTTCAGGACCTCGAACGTCAAAACCAATCCTGACACCCTGCAGCAATAGAAAAAGTTTCAAGCACGGACTGGTTTCGGGTGCGATGGTGGAAGATGAGCATTGCGTGTTTAGCGGATCGACATGTCGTGACGGTCGAGCAGCGCCGAGATTGGCTGTACGACGCTTTGCCATGCCGGTGCATTTGTGGATGAGGCGAGACGCCAGACCAGACGCAGCGATTCGGTCGTGGTGGAAGTAACCAGATCCTGCGAGATCTCGCGCAGCAGCACCTGCGACACCGCTTGCTCGGGCTTGGTTTCGCCAGCCTGCTCTGCGTCCGTTTCTGCGCTGGAAGCAGTGTCGGAGTCTTCGGCTGCAGGAGATGCGTCAAATGTGGTGCTGGATGAGCGGTGGTTGTACTGCTGCATCGTGTGCCGCGTGGCGCTTTCGAGCGCCCATGCTGCGCCGTCGAGTTGGAGCGTCAACGGCGGCAAAGCCCCCGTGTCGGTCGCCAGACTTGCCGCTGCGGCACGCTGTTCATCGGCAGTCGTCTCCAGAGGCTCATCTCCGTCCGTCTCCTTGGCGCGGTCTCGGGGCGGGCTGAGGTACCCCGTCAGCGCCTGCTCGACACCCGTGCGAGCCTGTTCGTCGACTGGATGTAGAATCCTTGCTCCCAGTCGCAGATCCGCCGATCGTTCCGGCACCAGCACATCGCTCTGTGCACTCGCCACCCACCGTGCCGTCTCAATCATCCATGCTCCCTCCGCATCGGCATCCTGCTTCCTCGCCAGGGTCACCTCGAGCTTGTTCAGCGGTGCAGCATAGCCCGCCTCGGCCGGGCGGTAGACGAGCACCACCTTTTCGGATCCCACGCGCGGAGCGTCGGGCGCAAGTGTGTAGCCCTGACGTTCGAGCCAGATGTCGAACGAGACGTTCTTCTGCGACCGGAACAGCGTGGCGGGCACGAAGCGCGATGCCTCCTTGCCAAAGCGCGCGCGGAACTCGCGCGCCCACTCCAAAAAGCTCTCGAGCGGCCACGAGCCCGGTCGCGGCGCCATGAGCGGGTCCTGCAGCTTGGCCACCAGCTCGTCCTCGCCCACCTGCTCGTCGGCCAGCGTCAGCGCATCACTGCTGTAAAGCAGGTGACCGAGCGAAGCACTGTACTCGACTTGTCGTCTTTCGCTCGCCTCGCCGACGGCTAGCGATGCTGCCTCGTACAGCGCACCGAAGGGGTCGGACATGTCCATTTCGCCCTGAGTCGCCCAGCCCGAGAGCGCCATGTCGGACAACTTGGAGACGGGGAAGATGGAGAGCGCATTGAGCTCGGGCACGTGCGTGACGCGGAACGAGAGATCGGACGAGGTGCCGTACAGCGCATCGTCGGCCTGCTTGATCCACGACGTCGGCTCGTTGGGCGTGAATGGCAACATGGCGTACTCCTGTCCAGAGACTTGCGACCCGCGGAAGGCGACCGCACCGATCCGCTGCGTCGCCTCCGCTGCCGCATCCTGGTACTGTCGCAGCAGCAGCACCGCCTTGTGTGCATCGCGCTCGCGCAGGTACGTCAGCGACAGCTTCGCCTTTCCATCCGACAGCGGTCCCGCTTCGATGAAGCACGTTGAGAGCTGCAGGATGAAGCGCACCAGCTCGGGCGGGAAGGCCTGTGCGGCTGATGCATCTGCAGCAGGTGCATCGGATGGTGCAAAGAGCGTGAGCTCCTCCTCCCTGGTGTGCATCGAGTGCTTGAAATCTTCGATCCACTTGCTCATGCGTGCGATGCCTTCGTCCTTGCCGCGGATCCAGAAGCCCAGCTGATCTTGGGCGCCGTCGTTTTCGGCTGCCGACTGGAGCAGAATCGTCACGTGTGCTCTGGAGGCTTCTTGACGCACCTTGTCCGATCCCCTGGCGAGCAGAAGATACAGCTCGGCAGGACGGAAGCCGATGCGCACCGAGCGCCTCTGCAGCTCCTCCTGCCTTTCGCGGTCGGCGCGTTCCTTGGCATCGAGCATGCCGAACCGATGCACCATGATGCGACGCACCAGATCGTCCTTGCGCACCTTGGCGCTGTAGCTGCCGGGCAGCTTGGCCGCGCGCCCAAGCAATGCGAGCTGATCGCGTGTGAAGGATGCATTGATGCGTGCCTGCGTGCGCTCCCACAGCTTGTCCTCCGGGTTGACATTGGCCGAGGGTTTGGCGAAGGGATTTACCGCATTGCGCGATGGACGCTGATCCTTGCGCGGACGTCGTATCCGCGGCTTGAGCGAGTCGAGATACTCCAAGGTCGGCTCAACGTCCGACACTTCTTCTGTGAGAAGCTCTACACTGCGCGATCGACTCGAAGTGTTGGGACCATTCGTGGCCTGAGCTGCAACAGAGGTGGTGAAGTGGCGCGCTGCTCGAAAAGATTGTGAAGAGGCGGAGGTGGCGATGATGCGGGTGGCTTCTGCCGGGAGGCTGCTACTGGTGTACAGGTGGCATGGGCATCCGGAAGGAGTTGGCAGCCGTGATGGACCGACTCCACTATGAAGAAGCGTCGCAGCCAGCTGATGAGCGCGTTTCGCACAGGAGCGAGCCACCATCGTTCTTTGCCGCTGCCGTCGTCACCAGCGTTCCTTGCTGCTGGTGAGCCTCTATGTGTGCAGAAAGGTGTGGTTGAATAGCAAAGGTTTGATGTGGAGCGAGCTCAAGCTGACCATTCCAAGGCTGCTGTTCTTCAAAGGCTGCTTCTCGCCCGCCAAAAAAAAGTGCAGAAATTCTCCACTCCAGCTCGCCTGGACAAATCTTGTGCGTCTGACAAGAGGCGGATCTTCTTGGGTTGCGCCGACTTCCGAGCCGCGGCCAAGTTTACAATGTTAGGCCGGGGAGGCAGCGGAGCCGTTGCCCGGTCGGGAGATCTCGAAAAGCGGTAGATTTCCGATTTTTCACGAAGTTGAGTCAGAAGCGTGCGACGTGGTTGCGGTGGTTGCGGTCCGATTCCGGCAGCACGGCAGGGCCAGCCAGTCACGATTGTGGGAGAGTCACACTCGCTGCGCCTGGCGGCCCTGCTTTTTTCGGCTTGTTCCCCGCGCAAGGGCCAGCCAGTCAGCCTGCGCGCACTGCAGAGCAACGCTTCCCCCAGACTGTGGGTCAATTTGTGTGACTGGGTCGACGGCGCTCGACACAGAGGGGCTCCGAAGCTCGCGATTCTTCCAGCGGCTCGGCGATCTGCTCGCCGTCGTCGCATTCACGCTGCGCTGCGCCGTGCGCTAGTCTCTCACCCGCTCATCTCGGTCGTTCCTTTACTCCCTTCCCCCTTTCTCCTTCTCCTCAACCTTTCATCCATATCCTTCTTTTGCATCGCGACTCGACATTGCGTGTGAGAACCATGCTTGCTCCTGCCACCATCCGAACTGCCGTGCGAGCGTCGCAGGCTTCGCGCCTCGGCTTCGTCTCGCTGCCCGCCGTGCGCCAGTACAAGAGCACCTGGGCGCACGTCAAGGCCGGCCCGCCCGACGCCATTCTCGGTGTCACCGAGGCCTTCAAGCGCGACCAGGACCCCCGCAAGATCAACCTCGGCGTCGGCGCCTACCGTGACGAGAACGGCAAGCCGTACGTGCTTCCTTCGGTGCGCCAGGCCGAGGAGCTCGTCATCACCTCCAAGGGCGACAAGGAGTACCTGCCCATCACCGGTCTCGCCGACTTCACCAAGAACGCCGCCATCCTCGCGTACGGCAAGGACAGCGCACCCGTCAAGGAGAACCGCATTGCCATCACCCAGTCCATCTCGGGTACTGGTGCGCTCCGCATCGGCGGCGCCTTCCTGCAGCGCCACTACCCCGAGGCCAAGTCGATCTACCTGCCCACGCCGTCGTGGGGCAACCACACGCCCATCTTCCGCGACAGCGGCCTCGAGGTGAAGCAGTACCGCTACTACGACAAGAAGACCGTCGGTCTCGACTTCAAGGGCATGATCGACGACATCAAGGCGGCGCCTGCTGGCTCGATCGTGCTGCTGCACGCCTGCGCGCACAACCCCACCGGTGTCGACCCCACCGTTGAGCAGTGGAAGGAGATCAGCAACGTCGTCAAGGAGAAGGGTCACTTCCCCTTCTTCGACATGGCCTACCAGGGCTTCGCCAGCGGTGACACGGACAAGGACGCCTTTGCCGTGCGCCACTTTGTCAGCGAGGGCCACCAGATCGCGCTTTCGCAGTCGTTCGCCAAGAACATGGGTCTCTACGGCGAGCGTGTGGGCGCGTTCAGCGTCGTGTGCGCTGACCCGGACGAGCGTGCGCGCGTCGACAGCCAGATCAAGATCATCGTGCGCCCGCTCTACTCGAACCCGCCCATGCACGGCGCCAAGATCGCAGGCACCATCCTGGCCGACCAGCAGCTGTACCAGCAGTGGCTGGGCGAGGTCAAGGGCATGGCGGACCGCATCAACGGCATGCGCTCCACGCTCAAGAACCTGCTCGTCGAGGACCTCAACTCGAAGCTCAACTGGGACCACATCACCAACCAGATCGGCATGTTTGCCTTCCTCGGCATCTCGCCGGAGCAGGTCGCCAAGCTCGTCAACGAGCACCACGTCTACCTGACGGGCGACGGCCGTATCTCGGTCGCGGGTATCACCAACCACAACGTCAAGCACCTCGCCGAGTCGCTCCACAAGGTCACCAGCTAAACTGGTCGGCTGTGCTGAAGCCACGTCGCAAAATGTCTTACCTTAGAAATGCATCGACTGTGTGTGTCTGTTCTTGTTTCGCTGCGTGGACTATGAGGCCGCGGTTCGATTCGAGAACGGTGGAGGGCATGGCTTTGTGAGGACACTCGAGACGGAAGGGTGAATGTGGTGGCAGTCGAGGATGAAGCCAGACCCATGTTCTTCGCAGGAAAGGCTTGTCTGACAGGGAGGCGCACCAGCGGAGGGAGCCATCGGAAACGTCCGAGCCAACAACGTCGATCCCCAAACCTGCAACCTTCAACGCTTCACATCCGTGCACCGCCTACTTCTCCACATCTTGCGCTGTGCTTGGGCGCTTGCGCCGGATCGGCATTGGCGGGATCGATGCAG